AAATGGTATTACATTTCCCTAAGTAAACTCAGTTTTGGGAACTGTAGGTCTATAGGACTAGCGAATCTTCTGTCTTTTGTAATCAAAGAGCAATGCCACACAGCTCTGTAGGGAAGGGATTGACATCTCCTGAAAAACGCAGACACAGTCCCGGCTGGGCGCCGTGGCTCACACCTGTAATCCCAGCATTTAAGGAGGCCGAGGTGGGTGGATCACCTGAGGTCAGGAGTCTGAGACCAGCCTGGCCAACATGATGAAACCCTGTCTCTACAGAAAACACAAAATTATCCAGGCGTGGTGGTCGGTGCCTGTAATCCCAGCTACTCTGAAGGCTGAGGCAGGAGAATCTTTTAGAATCCGGGAGGCGGAGATTACAGTGAGTCGAGATTGCGTCATTGCACTCCAGCCTGGGCAACAGAGCAACACTCTGTCTCAAAAACAAACAAACAAACAAACAAATGTAGACAGTCCCATAGGCAGCTCGTTTTTGAAAAGGTCATTCTTGCAGAATTAAAAATTCACTTAAATGGGATAAGGTGGAGATTATGGTCTCTCTCAGAGCCCCTAAAGAACTGGGTCCTGGATACCACCCAGATCTGGAAGAAAGTCCTATTAGAGAAAGCTATGTTTATTAAAAAAAGAAAAGAAAAAGAAAGATAATAACTAACACTCATTGAGCTCTCATCATATTCCAGCCCTTATTCTAACAACTTTACAAGTACTAAATCTTGTCATCTTTACATCAACCCTATATAGTAGATACTATTATTATCTTTAATTTATAGAGAAGAAAACTGAAGCATAGGGAGGTTAAATAACTTGGTGAATGTCACTAGCTGATGTATAAGGAACAGAATTAGAATTCCAGCATTCTGACTGCAGAAATGTCCTTAAATACATCATGTTAATACTCCCCCTAGATCAGAGGCAAGGAAGAAGAGCACGCCAGGCGTGATTCTATGGAGGGCTTTGGGCCTATGCACTGGATTGGCATCTCTAGCTAGCAGCTATTTTTAAGTCCTTAAGTTCTACCCTTTCACCTCTATGGGACATCATGGGACTATGCAGTAGTCTGGGGTCAACCAAGACTGTGAAAGCCAGTCGTCTTTGAAGGTGAAGTCTAAGACATTTTGGTTACTCATAAAAATGCCACTCATAATAGTCATGAATCGTGAAATTCTACTAATACTAAAAAACAAGGCCACGAGATAAATCAAAGATTCTTTTATCTATGAAATATTCCTCAAGCCCATTTCAAGGACCAGCTTCTGTGCTTGCTGCTAGAAATATAAGACAGAAAGACATACAAATGCATGCCTATCTCCAAGGGCACCAAGTTCTGTGGAGGCTACAAAGATGTATAAAAAAAGGTGAATGGTCACAAAGCAAGTAATTGGCACAATCATAGGTAGATGCATAGTGTGTTAAGGGATTAGACAGGAGGGGTACCTAACCTATGCAGAGAAGGTATACTATGACGTAAGTGCTAACCCACTAGACCTAGCCAGCATCTCCATGATGGGGAAAGGTTTCACAGGCAAACAGACAAGAACAAGCGGGTGCATAGAGGAGGCTCACTATTGCAAGACAAACCGCTGTGTGTGGAGATTTAGTAGACAAGGCTAGAAAGATAGGATGGAGTGAAAATTATGAAAGACTTTGAACTTTATGCCAATCAAATGCAAAGTAAAGTGATTAGTTTTACATTTAGAATTATTTATAAAGGAGGTCAGATCAGGTTGGAAGTACTTGCAAAGGTCTGGCTAGAAGGCAAGGAAGGCTGATTTTGGTGAAAGGAACATAGAGTGGAGAAATGGTAATTGACATTTAAGATACAACATTGACTTTGAAGTGGACTGGATATGAGAAAAGTTTCTCAAGTTTCTGGCTTGGGATCCTACAGGCCTCTAGTGTGTGGGAAGAATGGAGGAAAAAAATAGAGTTTAGAAGCAAAGATAACAAAGTTGGGCTGGTTGTCATTGAGTTTGAGATTCAATGGTTTTTCATGAGAAGCAGTCTATAGGTGGTTGGAAGTGCAAGTTTGGAGACTAGCAGACTGACGTGATCTGTGGGTATGTAGCTCATAAGTGATGAAGGAAAAGGAAACCTTCAGTATTAACAAGATCACTTAGAAGAGTGTGTAAAAGGAAGGGTGACTGGGAGAGGAGAGAGAAGGAGACAGGGAAGAGCAGGGAAGACCAGGGGAGTAGACTAAATAATTCTGGGAACAACAGCTTTTAAGAGTAGGGACACAGTTTTTGACAGAAACTGAGAGTAAGCAGACTAAAGGAAAAATAATGGTAACAGGAAGCAATGTCAAATTAGAGTTAAGTGAGAAAAAAGTATAATGTATTTGGAAAAAAGTGAAGGAAAGTATGTATTTAAGCTTGTCATGAAGAATATACTTTAATTCCTTTAAGAATTGTATTTATGAGTATCCAAGTTGGACTAGAAATCAGATATCCATACCTTCTTTTTTTAACCATTATTAAAAATAACAATGCAACTAAAAATCATATGAATTATCAGGAATATTAATTATTATATCACTTCAATTAATGATTAATTTACCATGTACTTTTAATATAAAAGCACCTCATGTTATAAAACTTGAAAATCAATAAATCAGAAAAAAATCACTATTTAGATTTTGAGGCTATTCATATGGAGATTATATTTTTAAAAATTAAATTTATATTTATTTTAAAATTAAATACACGTTTATGTAATTGAACGATTTTTGTTATAAGTATGTATTATCCAGAGATAAAAGAAGGAAAAAATATGATAAAGTTATATGTGGGAAATTGGTACATTATACTTTCTTCTAAGCTTTGAAGTTTTCATAAGAGTTCTGATTGCTTCTGCAGGAAAACAAAGAAAAACAAAACAAAATATGTTTAACTTTGTGTAATTATAGCATCTCAGACTTATGTAAATAAAGACCTCTGTTATGGAGTGTTGTCATACGAATACTGGTGTAAGAAACATTGCCTGATAGGATTTGAGTTTTCCTAGTTATTTTGAACATCAGGAAATCATGCCATTTTCTCTTTAATACTAAATATAACAGAGGTTTCTTTAATTATTCTTTTAAACAAGAATGGTGGATAAAATTATTTTTGGTGGGAACACATATCCAACACCATAATGCAAATTGAAATTATGTAAAGAAATTTGGATCAATTCATTAACACTACATAATTCAAGTACAGATTTCAAGATTCTTAATTTGACTCACAGTGACAATTTTTGTCAGTCTTTGTAAGTTTACAGTCTAGCCACTAGGTGGCGATCAGAGCGAAATTTTGCTATATTTTATAACTGAAAATTCACTAGTTGTGTGGTCTGAACTATAATATTTTTACAACTTATCTTGTCATTTAATTTGAAGGATGTAGCCTACTCTCTTGTTGAATTATTGATATAGAGAAGAATAGACATATACTTTATCAGATGAGAACATGATGTATAACCAAGGTTTTTCTCAGAAATGGTGAAGTTTCTGTTCTAGTAGAGTCCAGGTTTTTGGATATAGAGTAATTGGTAAATACAAGATAGATCTTGTATATCATGTTGGAAGTCACTGAAGTGATATATAGAGAAACGATCAGATAAAGCATGATTATAATTTAATAATTTAATTGTTAATACCTTGGATTTAGGAGAGGTTGAGCTATTAATGCAGAATGTTATAATGCATTTTATCCTCATAACACACATACACATTAGGAAAAGAGAAAAAAGGAAATCCTGATGCTTTCAGAAAACACTGTAGGTGCAGAAGCCACCTAAGCTGCATGAATCATATGCCTAGAGCCAAAAAAAAACCAAAAAACCTTTGGCCGGGTGCGGTGGCTCACACCTGTAATCCCAGCACTTTGGGAGGCCAAGGTGGGAGCATCACTTGAGGTCAGGAGTTCGAGACTAGCCTGACCAACATGGAGAAACCTTGTCTCTACTGAAAAAAATAATTAGCTGGGTGTGGTGGCGCATGCCTATAATCCCAGCTACTCCGAAGGCTGATGCAGGAGAATCGCTTGAACCTGGAAGGCGGAGGTTGTGGTGAGCCAAGATCGCATCATCGCACTCCAGCCTGGGCAACAAGAGCAAAACTCTGTCTCAAAAACAAAAAAAAAAAAACCTTTTGCCATTATATTGTACATATCAGGATTTCTTCTCCCCCTTCAGGGCATAACGCAATGGTTTCTACTTCTAAATATACACTTAAATATATACTTTAAAAAGATATTACTGCAGTATCAACATCATTATGTAAGTCATTAAAATGTATTTAAAGACAATACTAACTGAAACTATTTCCTTGGCCAAAAGTAAGGGCATTTTTAATTTTTAGAATTTTAAACTTGGCCAAATTGTTTTCTAACGATTGAAATATCTCACATTTACACTAGCACTATATAAGTATTCATGCTCCCAAGACATCACCAGTAGTGCATGCAGACTTATAAAAATATTTGCCAGAAAGATAAGCTCCTTAATCAGCACCGATGGCCATTCACTTCCATTTCTCTGCACATCTGCCATGTGTCTCATGCATGCCTCATACCAGACTTTCATGACCCTGTACTTTTGGACATATGATTCTTTCTGCTAAGGATAGTCCTTTCCCCCTTTTCTTTGCTTGTGAAATTTTTATCATGACAGCAAAACTTGACCTCCTTAGTCAGGGCTTTCCTCAAATCCCTGGCAATGTCAGATACTGTCTTCTGTGTCCTTACAACATTCTCTTCATATCTCCATATAGAATGGAGAGAATGTCATCAATATTTGCACAACTTCCTTCTAAAAGTCTGTAAATCCTATGGCTATAGAAATATATTCTAACTGACAGATAGTAAACTATGTGGCACCCTATCGGCATCCGATATTTATTTACTTATTAAATCAGTCAATTAATTTGTTAACTTAAAAAGCAATTTTAATCATTAGCATGGTTTTTAGGAAAGGAGAATATTCTTTATGAATATTTAACCCACCTGGTACAAAATGAGAATTGTATTCAGGAGGAGCATCAGGCCTTGGATCTGGTGGTTTTGTTTGATTTTCCATTTCACCTGCAGGCTGTTCAGGGGCTGTGGGCACTACACCTTCAGGAGAAGAGAGGGAACATGACTTACAAAGGAAACAATAATATGATGACAAAATGTATTCTTTTTTTTTTTCTTATTGGTATGCATCAAAAAATATAATCAACTAGAAATACACTCCTATATTTCCTATAAAAAGAATTCATCATATATGAGACACTACCTATTAATAAATTTCATGAATTTTCAAACTGAACACATATTTAAAAATAGAACTAAACAATTATATTGTGCTTGTGATCAAAGCAATGAGCTTTTATACCAGTTGTTCAAATGCCCTGATGCTAACTCTTACCTACAAAGTAAATTCCTGGCATAAGAGCAAAAATTATTTTTCCCATTACATAATATGGAGAACACAGGCATTTAGAGAGTGAAGCTGATTTTTTTCCTAATTCTTTTTGGAGAGTGCTGTCTAAACAGATTCACAACATAACACCATAAACACATAATGGTTTAATAAACAGTGGTGTCACACATAACTGAATTAGCAATAGTTTAGTCTAGATCTCCAGTGACTCACATTTTCACTGTATTCTTTCTAAAAGCAATCTAGGTCACAGTAATTGCTGCAAGGGAGGTACTGAAGTCAGTTTCATGATGTTCCACCTTGTCTTCTTATTGAGATTAGAGACTAATTTCTCTCTGAGCTTACTACAAAAAAAAGCTGAGTTTCCTAAACAACCAGTTGACTTTTATCTCCTAGCAAACAAAAATCCATAAATGTGATTTTTCTCTCATTATGTAAGCTACTAGAAAATACAAGGCCTACTTTCACCCTTCTCTACCAAGGCAGGGCCTTGCCACAGGCTCTTTATTACTACAACCTCTCTTTGCAGAACTGCTTTCATAATCTTGCTTTTTTTTATTACCTAATTTTCCCCACAAACTTCAAAGATTATTCAGTAGATACGTACCCCACTGTAAGTCTCTTTTTCATCTTTTTCTGACAATGATAAGAACGTCTATATACATAAATAATATATACAGACATATATACACACATATATACACAACACACACACACATGTATTTATATTTGCCAAATGTTAAACTCGGGAGGCTGAGGCAGGAGAATAGCGTAAACCTGGGAGGCGGAGCTTGCAGTGAGCTGAGATCCGGCCACTGCACTCCAGCCTGGGTGACAGAGCGAGACTCCATCTCAAAAAAAAATAATAATAAAATAAAATAAAATAAATCAAAATGAAATAAAGTCCCCCTTTAGGGAAAATAATCACAAAATTCACATTTGAAAATAAAGCATATTCAAATTTATTCACAAAAACTTACCTGACATTTTGAAGAATTCCAATTAATCCTGAAAAATAAAAAAATGTTAATGCCTTTAAAATATATACATAATAAATAGTATTACTACTCAGTGACACAGGTAAGGACTTCTGTAATTTTTTTAACCTCCAGTTACTTTACATTTGTCCCGTCATTAATTCAACAAATATTTATTGAGCACCTATTATGTACGAGGCACTAAACAGATGTTGAGAGTACAGCAGTGAAGCAGACACTCTGCCGCCTACTGTGCTGCAGTTTATATTGTAGTAGGATGAGATTTTAAAAAACATGTCAAGAAATGTTGGAGTTTAACTTTAGAGATAGTACAGTTATGAGGAAAACAATGTAACAGGCTTAAGAGAAACATGGATGGTTAGTTCTAGGAGAGTCAGGGAAAGCCTGCCTCAGGAAGTGACCTTTGAGCTGTTTGAACTATGAAAAATAAACATGACACTACATTTGTGGGAAGAGAGTTCTAGGAAGATAGGAAATTAGTGCAAAGGGTCAGAGATGGCAGTGAGCTTGAGATATTGATGGGAGGAAAAAAGAAAGCGGTTAGGAGTGACTGGGCCACAGTGAGTGAAGGGAACTGAGGCAAGACATGGAGACAGAGAGGTCTGATCTCATCTGAAGGCCATGACAAGGTGGTTGGCATTTTCGGTATTTGGTACTGGGAAGTCTGGAGGATTCAGTCAGTGGAGTGATCAGATCTGATCGACACCATACACCGAGAGAAAGAGTAGAAGCAAGGAGCAGTGAGGGATGGCAGCAGCAATCCAGGTGAGAGCTGACGCTGGCTTAGACAGGGGAGGTGACACTGCAGTGGATTAGGAGTGGTCAGGGGCATGACACTGTTTGGAAGCAGGGCCTCCAGGAGTTGCTGACGGACTAAGGTAAAGAGAGGAGGGGAAGAGGATTCTGAGTTTTAGCCCAAGGTAACTGAGTTGATGGTGATGCTATTAACAAAACTAGAGAGGAGGATAGTGGGCATGAAGGAGGGTAAAAATTGAAAGTTTAGACTAGGACATGTTATGTTTAGGAAGAGACCAAAAGAAGTTAAACATTTAAATTAAAAACATGTATAGGAACATTATGAGAATAACTCAGAGAAGGAGACTAGAAGTTGAGATGAGATTTTAAACAAGGAATGAAGGTGAAGGTAAAATTTTCTGAATTCAATCAGGCAAAAAAAACTGGCTATTATTAGAGAAGGGAATTTCAGTATATCTGAATTTCTGAGTTCTGAGTAATGACAAATAATAAAAAGAATATCAACAAAGACTGTAATTTACTGAATGCTTATCAAATGTTAGGCAAAGGGCCCAATGCTTTTCCTATATCTCTGATTATAACAACTCTCTAATGTGTAAATGGCCACATCTGCTAAAGGCAAGTGCTTCTAAATCCTAAGCCTATGTACTTTTCAATATGTGATCATGTTTATAAGAATGCAGAGTCATTTGTGTCGGGTCCAAGTGCAGTAAAAAAGTATCAAGTTAGAGTAGGTCAAAGAGGCATTCAAACACTGTATGAGGGAGTCATCAATATGGGCACTGAGCTGACTCAATGAAAATTGCCATAGTATGAGCCAGTATGCAGATTCCCAGCTGAAATGATTGTCTTGCCAAGATGGGTGAAAGTTTAACCAGTCTTGGACCATCTCCACTCACCTCTGGAGCTGGAGTTTGTTGTACGGTGCCCTATGTGTCTCGAAGCTTAAAAAATATATTTTTTAAAGATATGTATTTATTTTTATATAATATATATTATGTAAAAAGTTTTAAATATATACTTAATATATATTATATACATTTTTACATTTATATTTTAAATATATTAAACAATATTTAAATATAAAATTATACACATAATATATGATTATAAATAATATAAATGCATGTGGGGGTGTGTGTGTGTATATATATATTTATTTATTTATTTATTCTGGGACATACCAAAAAGTCAGACCCAATTCTGGGCCAGCCAAGGGAGTTCAAGGAGTTAGTTATATTCCTTAATGATGGCAATCCCTGTTGTTGAGGAAAATGACTACAGCTTTCCATAACTTTAGATACTCCTAGGTATGTACCTGCAAGTGACACTTGCACATGTACACAGGATAGAGACAAGAATGTTCTTGATAACACTATTCATATTAAAAGGAATGAAAACTTGCCTAATGTCCATCAACAGTAGACTGAATAAATAAATTCTGGTACATTCACATGATATAATAGTATACTGTAGTGAAAACAAATTACAATTGTGCAGGTGGACAGAGATGAATCTCAAAATTACGACACAACAGAAAAAGCAAATCACTGGAGAATACATGTAGTATGATTCCACGTAAGAATGTTCAGTAGCAGGAATTCTAAACAAAGCACTTTATCTGATAAATATATAGAGGAAAACTTTATAACGAAATGCTAGGGAATTAAAAACATAAAATTTCAGAAAAGGGTTATGTGTAAAGAAGTGATGAGGGGTAGCTGTTTAGTTGTGGCCCACAAGGAACCCTAAGTTCCTGCCAATATTAAAGTTCTATTAGGGTGATAAGAACAAGGCTAATGTCTTGTCATTAGTTTTTAAAGGGTATGTACATGTTTAAATATGCATATTTATATGTATGGCATTATTTCACAATAAATAAGAACCATTTGACAGTTATATGTTGAGTGTCAGCTTCTTCCAAGTAATGGTCTGTTGTTACAGTATAGGTTACAAGCTATCAAGGAGCCACAGTGGAAACTAATTACAAAAGATAATTAAATGTCTTAGTGAAAAGAGGCCAAATTATTATATCTATCTATCTGTCCACCTATCACCTATCTAGCTATCTATAGTGGCAAACTTTTAACAATTGCTGAATCTCAATGAAGAAATGAATTTGAATATTAATTTTTAAATATTTAATTTCAAAATAAAACTTGGAAAAAATATAGAATTCTGGACTCCAAACCTGAAGTAGCACCTCTGGGGTCCAGGCCTGGAAATCTTTACCTTTAACACAATTCCAGGTGATCCTTATGATCAGGCATGTCTGAGACTAACTCAATGTCAACAAAAATAACAGTTCTCAACAATGCTAGGCATTATTAAGTGTTCAAATCTAATTCAAGTAATTGAATGATAACTTGAAAAAATTAGTAAAATTTTAGAAATATTTAAAGTATTACAAAGCAACTAATCTCAATGAGTTTAAATAAAAGAAAAATACCTACATATTGCCTCACAAGCTTCAGATACTCGAAGTCTGCTTACCTTCCATCTTGTCTGAGCTGCTAGCATTTTTTTCTCACCACCCTATATTCTATTCCCTTTCTTATAAAATTTTACAACATAGTTTTAGCCAAAATACTGTGCAAGACAGGATAATTTCCAGTTGGTAGAAGCATGAATGCTAACTTAATCCTCCTTTAATCTTCAGTGAATCACTTCAGATTTCCCTATCACTTAGCAACAACAAAAAGTGCCTTACCTTGAAAAAACTGATTTTTGGCTTTATATCTGTCAGAAACCAGATTGGAAAACTGAGCTGTATCTCCATAACAGTTTAGTATTACAAAGTCTGGAGAGCTGTTAATTGCAGAGCCTTGGTATTTTAGGGGCATGATATGCATACAGGGGAATCTGGGCTGCCTGGAATGTAATTAAGAGAGAAAGAAGACATGGGCTAGACAGGACAAAGTTGGTGAGATTGAGGTTTGCTGCCTTGCAAGGCAGCCCTGATATCTTAAATTGCATCCTACAGCAAGAGTGCTGTATCTTACTATATGCTATTAAATGGATATCACTTGCAGCACCCAACAAGCGCAGCTGTGTTATATGCTCGCTTGTCAATTTCACCATTGTAAACAGTGACACACTCTCAGAACTCAATAAAACCACAAGTTCTAGAACTCACACCAGGGGTATTTGAAAATTCAATCACAAAACTCAAAAGGAAGATTAGATCTTTACAGTAGAGTATTTACTGGAAGCTGTCCTGGCCTCTCCACAAGGGAGGCTCTGGGCAGTGAGAATCTCTAGGCACAAGGCTTGGAAATGGCATACGCATTCTAAAATTCTGGGTCATGTCTGTCTCCAGTGCCTTTAACCCTGCAAGGAGAAAAGAAAGCAGATCAATGAACAATTCCTTCTGCTTCTTAGCAGGGACAAGAAAAATATCTCGCTCCTGCAAAGTCCTATACCAGCTACCATGATATCTCTTTTGTGTTTATTATGTAACTGATAGGAGATTATATTCTTTGTCCATCTTAATCTTCCCTTAAGAATACCTGGAGAAAAGCAGAAGATTGTGTGACTACAAATAGTGTATTCCAGCACACTTCAGACAGTATGGACCGTGGTCCAGAGTGTGGGTTCAAATCTCAGGTTTCTCTGATCGTTGTGTAATCTTGAGTGACTGATCTGTTCTTAGGTTATCCTGTTAATCACGGGGATGACGATGGCTGGATCAACCTCACAGAAATATTGTGAAGACTAAAACAATTACATCTGTATAGCACTTAAAACAGTGCCTACCGTATAAAAACAATCCTCAATAAACTTGCATTATTACTACTATTTCACTAGTAAGACATACTAACTGATGAAGAGACCAAGAATAAATGTGTGTTTAATAGTGGTATCGGAAAAAAAAAAAAAAAAAAAAAAAGCTGTCTGCCAGTCAGCAACTCGGCACGTATTACTGAGCATCCATATGTAAGATTCTACTCTGGGTTCTGAGCTGACACCACTAATTCCCATCTTCTATATCCAGTAATTTTCTAGCAAATGGGATTTCATGAGCACTGTTTGTAATGAATTTCTAAGTCAAAGGAGTGGGGAGAGAAAAAAAATGGAGACATTGCCAAAGGGCTTTTCCTATTTGCAGCTAAATGAAAGACCAATGAGTTAGGGTACACCTTAAGTGGCTACAAAATTTGCTTTCAGTTCAGGATAGTGACATTACTTATATTATGCAGACGATGGATGTATCCTTTAGTAAACTTTAAAAAGATCAGAAAATTAAGATTATGT